GATGCCAGGAGCCCCTAGTAGCGTCCTTGCTCCTAGTAGCGATGCCATGAGACAAGCGAGTGGCGTATGGGTGTGTAACAAGCAGATTGGAATAAAACACGCCAAACCGAGGGGGTCTTTTAGGCCTGGCATGCCGTGCAAGCAGGGTTCATCGGCTAACAAAGACCAAGGGGGTTGGGTCTATTTCCTTTTTTCCAAAAGGGTCTCTCTCTCTCTCTCTCCCCTAATCCACACCCAATATATCCAATAATTAGACTTCCCGTTGAGTTCAATCGAGCGTTTTTCCTGCGAAAGCATGATTCAGGAGACCCCCAAGACCAAACAGCGTGTACATAAAGGTTGGGTTTATGGTCCTTCAGAGCCTGAAAGGAGAGGATCAGGTGGCAACTTTCGTTCCCATGTCGTAGCGTTTTGTTACTAGCAGCAATGGCCTCCAACCTACTAGCTTCTTGTTCCTAGTAGAAATGACGTTGTTACTAGTAGCTTTTTGTTCCCAGTGGCAATGCCAGCAGATAGTAGCAGTTACTAGTAACTTTCGGATTGTTTCGGTCAATGCGGGCTTGACGACGGTCACCGCCGCTACCCTTTAGGACCTTCAGGATGCTCTAGGTCAAAAACTGGAAGCTCAAGACGACAGTCATTCTGCAGGTTGTTTTCAGAGCCTACTGGCTCTGCAGCAGCTCCGGAAGTGAGATCTTGATCCTAACTGATGCTACTGGCACTACTGTTGTATGGGACGACTTGGCCATGTACGCGAGGATGGTGAATCAAAGCACCAAGCCATCCAGACCTTCACGGCACATCCGGAACATGCATTAGTCAAAGACCTCGGTTGGACTGGAGTTGGATGGACCTTCTAAGGATCCTTAAAGAGGTGAAGGACCAGGTTGAGGCCCATGAAGTCGACACAGTAGTCATGTGGCTGACAGGCCACGGTGGAATCGTTGCAGCTCGTGGCCCGCTGTTGTGATGGCGAGGCCCGGATGTGCACCACTTGGACCTCCAAACCACATCCCAGATCGGATTTGGAGTGGAAACTGACCGTGTTACTACGTGTCCGTGTCTGTGTCTGAGCACCTACCTATGAGCAACGTTTTGACATGAGCAATGTGCCATACCCCCCAACAGGTCACCACCTGTCCTAAAAACCTGGCTGGCACGAGGACTTGGCTCGCTTGGCCCAAGGAAACCGACGCTTCTGGCGGCAGCTGAGTGATCAGGAGGCGCTTTCAGCACTTTGATCGCGTTCATGTTTTGCTCTTATCCAGACTTCTTGACCAAGAGGTTTTTTGGAGGTTTGTCATGGTTTGTCGACTTATTGTTGCCAACATCATTTTGCATGACGAGGGGCCTGAAAAGTAGAGAATTGACTCTGCATGACCCGAAAATGCCTTCTTCATCCTTCTTCACACAACGGATTACGGGATTCATCTTGCACTTTCTACTCACCTTCAATTCCAGACCCTTTCGTTCTTATTGGGAAGATCCGCGTCAAATAACTATATACACCCTGAGGACATGGTCCAAAATCTGCTTTCCACACAAAGCATCGAGCGAATGGGCTGGACACGAGGGGCCCTTGTTCTGAACCGCTTAGTGCTCGGCATTGCACCGGGTTCACTTTTAAGACCTCGTCGATGGAGTATAGAACCGTTCTGAAGACGCCTTTTTGAGGCCTCGTCGGACAGCATTTCTGGTGTTGTCAAGATGGCACCAAACCACTGCCTGTTGTGCAGTCGCCAACTTCAGTGGTTGCAGAAAGTGTTTCTCTTTGGTCTAGCTGGTGCTCAGCAGGAAAATGCCGTTGCTGGCGCGGACGACCAACTTCAGCAACTCCTGCTAGATGCTCATACTTCTCTGTTCTAACCAGACTTTTGTCTTTGATAATGTGTCATATGTTCCAGTATATTCATTGGTAATGTTGATTCATCATGGCAAGAGAAGCTGCGTGCAACTCACTTTTCTTCTCTCATCTTCTCAAGAAAGCTTGCTCAAGCCCAGTCTGAGACACCGACCTGGTGTTGACGGTCTCTAAAATGGAGTGCCCGACCCTTACCTGGAATTCCCAAGAGGATGTATATATGGGAGTTGATCGAAAACCCCATGTAAGGAGTTTTATATAGAATGGCCATTCCAGGATGAAAGAATATTGATCAACCACCATATATATATATATATACTTTTTTAGT